ATTTCCCATTTTTTATGATACAAATTTCCCATTTTCTATGATAATCTATTTTCGGGAAAGTTGGTTATCTAAACAACTTTCCCGGAAAGTGGATATTTCCCATTTTTTATGATACAAATTTCCCGTTTTCTATGATAATCTATTTTCGGGAAAGTTGGTTATCTAACCAACTTTCCCGGAAAGTAGATATTTCCCATTTTTTATGATACAAATTTCCCATTTTCTATGATAATCTATTTTCGGGAAAGTTGGTTATCTAGCCAACTTTCGCGGAAAGTAGATATTTCCCATTCTTTATGATACAAATTTCCCGCTTTCTATGATAATCTATTTTCAGCAAATTTGGTTATCTAACCAACTTTCCCGGAAAGTAGATATTTCCCATTGTTTATGATACAAATTTCCCGTTTTCTATGATAATCTACTTCCCCAAATTAGGTAATATTTCCCCGAAAATACGAAAATCTACTTCCCCAAAAAGTCGATAATCTAATTTCCCGAAAATTAGAAAATCTATCTACTTTTCGGGAAACCAGATAACCACCCAAGAGATATTTATTTATGATACAAATTTCCTGTTTTATGATATCTATTGTTGTTATCTAACCAACTTTCCCGGAAAGTAGATATTTCCCATTTTTTATGATACAAATTTCCTGTTTTATGATAACTATTTTCGAAAGTAGATATTTCCCGAAAAGTCGATAATCTACTTTCCCGAAAAGTAGAAAATTCATTCACTTTTCAGAAAGTAGATAACCAACTTTCTTGGTAGATATTTCCCATTTTTATGATACAAATTTCCCTTTCTATGATAATCTACTTCACAAAATTAGTAATATTTCAAAAATCGATAATCTACTTCTTGAAAGTAGATAACCAACTCTCCCGGAAAGTAGATATTTCCCATTTTTTATGATACAAATTTCCCGTTTTTTATGATAATCTACTTCGCAAAATTAGGTAATATTTCCCCCAAAATTCGAAAATCTACTTCCCCGAAAAGTCGATAATCTACTTTCCCGAAAAGTAGAAAAATCTATCTACTTTCGAAAGTAGATAACCAACTTTCCCTGAAAGTAGATATTTCCCATTTTATGATACAAATTTCCTGCTTTCTATGATAATCACTTCGCAAAATTAGGTAATATTTCCAGTTTCGAAAATCTGCTTCCGATAATCTACTTTCCCGAAAAGTAGAAGTTGAATATTTTTCGGGAGATAACCAACTTTCCCGGAAAGTATATCAAAGTTTTATGATACAAATTTCCTGTTTTCTATGATAATCTACTTCGCAAAATTCAGTAATATTTCAAAATTCGAAAAATCTACTTCCCGAAAAGTCGATAATCTACTTTCCCGAAAAGTAGAAAATTTATCTACTTTTCGAAAGTAGATAACCAACTTTCCCGGAAAGTATATATTTCCCATTTTTTGTGATACAAATTTCCCGTTTTCTATGATAATCTACTTCGCAAAATTAGGTAATATTTCCCCCAAAATTCGAAAATCTATTCCCCCGAAAAATCGATAATCTACTTTCCCGAAAAGCAGAAAATCTATCTACTTTTCGGGAAAGTAGATAACCAACTTTCCCGGAAAGTAGATATTTCCCATTTTTTATGATACAAATTTCCCGTTTTCTATGATAATCTACTTCGCAAAATTAGGTAATATTTCCCCAAAAATTCGAAAATCTACTTCCCCGAAAAGTTGATAATCCACTTTCCCGAAAAGTAGAAAATCTACTTTTCAGGAAAGTAGATAACCAACTTTCCGGGAAAGTAGATATTTCCCAATTTCTGTGATACAAATTTCCCGTTTCCTATGATAATCTACTTCGGAAAATTCGGTAATATTTCCCAAAAAGTCGATAATCTACATCCCCGAATAGTCGATAATCTACTTTCCCGAAAAGTAGATAATCTACTTTTCAGGAAAGTAGATAACCAACTTTCCCGGAAAGTTGATATTTCCCACTTTCTATGAAACAAATTTCCCATTTTCTATGATAATCTACTGCAAAATTAGGTAATATTTCCAAAGTCGAAATTCTTCGAAAAGTCGATAATCTATTTCCCGAAAGTAGAAATTCTATCTACTTTTCAGGAAAGTAGATAACCAACTTTCCGGAAAGAGATTTCATTTTTTATGATACAATTCCTTTATGATAATCTACTTCGCTAAATTAGGTAATATTTCCCGAAACGTCGAAAATCTACTTCCTGAAATATAATCTACTTCTGAAAAGTAGAATATCTATTTTCAGTAGATAACCAACTTTCCCGGAAAGTAGATATTTCATTTTTATGATACAAATTTCCTGTTTCTATGATAATCTACTTCGCAAAATTAGGTAATATTTCCCAAAAATCGATAATCTACTTCCTTGAAAAGTCGATAATCTACTTCTTTAAAATCTATCTACTTTTCGAAAGTAGATAACCAACTTTCCCGAAAGTAGATATTTCCCATTTTTATGATAAATTTCCCGTTTTATGATAATCTACTTAAAATTAGGTAATATTTCAAAAATCGATAATCTACTCTTGAAAAGTCGATAATCTACTTTCCCGAAAGTAGAAAATTCATCTACTTTTCGGGAAAGTAGATAACCAACTTTCCCGGAAAGTAGATATTTCCATTTTTATGATACAAATTTCCCGTTTCTATGATAATCTACTTCGCAAAATTAGGTAATATTTCCCAAAATTGAAAATCTATCCAAATGATATCTACTTTCCGAAAAGTAGAAAATCTTTCTACTTTTCAGGAAAGTAGATATTTTCCTTTTCATTTTTTATGATACAAATTTCTATGATAATCTACTTCGCAAAATTAGGTAATATTTCCCCAAAAACTCGAAAATCTACTTCCCCGAAAAGTCGATAATCTACTTTCCCGAAAAGTAGAAAATCTTTCTACTTTTCAGGAAAGTAGATAACCAACTTTCCCAGAAAGTAGATATTTCCCATTTTCTGTTATACAAATTTCCCATTTTCTATCATAATCAACTTCGGAAAATTAGGTAATATTTCCCAAAAGTCGATATCTACTTTCCCTTAAAGTCGATATCTACTTTCCCTTAAAGTCGATATCTACTTTCCCAAAAAGTAGATAATCTACTTTTTAGAAAAGTAGATAACCAACTTTCCCGGAAAGTAGATATTTCCCATTTTCTATGATAAGTAGATAACCAACTTTCCCAGAATTAGATATTTCCCATTTTCTGTTATACAAATTTCCCATTTTCTATGATAATCTACTTTGGAAAATTAGGTAATATTTCCCCAAAAGTCGATAATCTACTTTCCCGAAAAGTATATAATCTACTAACCAGAGAGGAAACTTGGTAATCATGACAGAAAATTACACAACAATGAAGTCAAGATGTCTTGCACTGGTAATGTGGCTGTTGTGAACAGATAGTGGTAATATGACTTAAAAAGTGGTTGTATACAAATGAGACTACATACCGAAGCTGACTACATAATGACATTAACTGGATAAAATAATGGTCATTCTAAGAAAGATACACATACACTACACAATTTATCACAGGAATGAATTATACAGCAATTTAAATACATCTTTATTGACTAGTTTAATAAAAATATAAAATTTATAAAAATGCCCTTAAGCTTACATGTTTTGAGGCAGAAGTATCTCAAACCTTTGTGACATTATGAATATTAACCAAATATATTTTGCAAGAAGTGTCCAGTTCTTAAACTCATGAATTCTGACAAGTAGGCTACAGAATGGCCATATTGTTCACATAATGTTGAAGATTGAAGACTATTCAAGCTAACCGAAATGTTTCATGGCCATTATTATTATTAGTGGGATTATGCATAACACATCAAATATGTTAAACTTTTTTTTTAGTTTGGTATGTAATGTGTCACATGAAATAGAACTGTACCACATGCTAAATATACCTGGAAACTACATGCACTAGGAATATTTGACAATTTGATCTGAGTAAAATGACAATATCCACAAGAGATAAAACGAAGTAAAACACTAACCAATTGGATGTATTGTAGAGGTTTACACCATATTTTCCCCCCAACTCTCAACATTAAACTGAGGTTATTTCTCATTATCTGTGTATAGGCTGCAGATACTTGCATAATCAAGATCACCTTTGAACAACTTGCACATGAGGGACATACAGTACAGGTACACAGTACACAGAAAAATTAATAACTTTTAAGTAGGCAAAACTGCACTTTAACAAGTTTGCCACAAACTTTAACACAGGGAGCAGAACAAACACGATACAGTAAAATAAGGCCACAATATTATACTGGGTCACATGATCAAGTACACGATACAATATCAATAATGCAACAGAACAAATGTAAGAATTCCAAGGTACATCTTTGACCATGAACATGTCTACCTAATTTTCCTCATGTGCAAAGGCATCAAACAGCTACTATACACTCTATTTACATTTGCAACCTCATATATCATATTTAACATACAAAAAGTACAATAACAATTTGAGAAAAATCACAGCCCATATCACAGCTTTATCTAAAAATAGTATTGGAGAAATGGCTTCACATGTAGTCTCCTTGTGACCATATTGTCTAACAAATGTATTACAGTCTTGTATATGACTATTTCTGTTGATCCCTGAGCCTAGCACACTCCATACTAGAGAGCAATACATCACTTCACAAATATGGGATAATACTCCTGAAAAATGGAAGACTTCAAACACAATTAATCGTAAATAGCATAAATACGGTGATATCTCCGTTGGGTGGAACAATTTGTGCAGAGCACTTCCGAGAATGAGAGATTTCCTGGTAACGAGACGACTCTCTTAAATCCGGAAAAAATCCCCCATCCCCGGAAATTTCCGGGTAACGGAAAAATTTTCTTGGAAGTTCCAGAAATTGCCCATTACAGTAAATCATCTCTCGAACCCGGAAAAATATCCCTCATCCCCGGAATTTTCCGGGTAAAGGAAAAAATTTCTCGGAATTTCCAGAAGATGAGCCTGATTTTCATCTCTCAAACCCGGAAAAACTCCCCTATCCCCAGAATTTTTTCGGGAAAACTTTCTCAGAATTTTCCGGAAAATGTTCCCCTTGGAAAATAGTTCCCAAAGGCGAAATTTTCCGGAAAAATCCGGCTTTGGGAACGATTTTCCTAGAAAATTTACATTCCGGCTATCGGAGAGTTCCGGGTTTGAGGGATTCCGGCTAACGGAGATATTACTGTACATTGCCCTTCAATTTATACTAATCACACTGGCCACATCCATTGAGACAATAATTATCAATAGACCACCAGTTGTATTTTATCAATTATCACAATGACAGTTTAAAGTAATAACCTTCCAGTGTACAGTATTGGTCACACTCATCTTTTCTACAGTTTATTGTTATGTGCTTTAATAGTTTCTACCAGTCTATGATGCAATTGACACCTGATAGACTCGGCTGATCAAGTAAGTCACGATCCCACTGTAATAACTGTTATCTATATGGTGACTGGTGACAACACAAGATGCAGTAAAATCTTCCAATATCAATACAGTATATTAATTTTGATAAAAACAAAGTCTTACAGAATCAGACTTTAAAAGTTCATTCAATGTAAATGTAAAATAAACAGTACATATAGTAATCATCTCAAGAAAACATTTCATAAATTGTTCAGATATTTCAAATTAAGCATTGGTCTATAACTGAAGAGCTGTTTCCAAAAACTCTGGTGTTATCAGCAGTTTTAGTTTATTAGAATTTGAGGACCAGTTTTATGCAGTGGGACTCGCATCATCACGAGAATGTCTTGTAACAAAAAGTCTAGAGCTTTATTTTTTCTACACATAAGCCAAAAACAAGTGAACAAGGCTTACACCTGTACTATAGTGCTGTACATATAAAACACAGTGTAAGTTCCTTATGGTGTGTTCACTGTGAGTGGACAAAGGTTCTCAGGTTATGACATTAAGAACAGTTAATCGGAATGTCACATTTGTCCTTCCATATTTAACCTAATCACCCAGCATGATTCACAGTGATTTATACCATGCATTATGTAAGTTCCTAGCTACTGGTAATGTAATATTGTCCAATTTGAGGCACATGCATTTGTAATGGAAATGGAGTTTTTCCCCTTGACCTTAACATAAAAAAGTCTAATAAGTTTGGTATGGCTAGCGAGGCTTTTTCATCTCATTCTTAGAATAGGAATAATTGTAGCAGCATTGGCACAAAACTAATAAAGTTTAATTTAAAATAATCAGAGACAAAGTTAGAATTGGTTCTAAAAAGCCTGTCAGGAGACTTTAACTGCTTTGGGTGATAGTGCAAGTCTTTCAAATGAAGACATTTCTCTGCCCATCCTTTCTACTCGATGGTACAGTATTAACAAGTTTCCAGGACTTTGGTACATTATATTGAAGCTACCCACCCTGTGTTGTAAAGAAACACTTTTTAAACAGTTTGAAGGAAGTTTTTCATGGAAGCCAGTTCTTTAGACAACTTGCCTATCTCTGATACATTGCAAAACTGAACACTGTACAGTGGTGGACCACAAGTCATTACCTACCTAAACATTAGACTCTTGTCTTTTACTAAGTAATGGGCTGTGGTCAACAATTTACTAATACCTGTACCATGTATCAAGAATTGCAAAATTTATAATAATTGACTTAGCTCCAAGTTGCATTTCAGCTTGTATCCTGTGTACACAGGTATACCACAACCAGGAGAGTTGTTGCAACACTGGTGGCAACATGATTCGGTAATACAGGATTTAACACAACATTCAAACAATGAGTCATAACAGGGATTTACTCTAGTGTTACCTGTGACTCGGTAGGTGCTGCCACATTACAATGATACAGTATAAAGAGAGCAGTAAAACTTAATTCAACCAGTCAGAAAAATGATCGGCTACTGAAACGGCCAAAATTCAATTATGGTGATAGTGTTACACCACAGAAGAGTACTCAATGTGTGGATGTATGTGTGTTTTTATTACTGATAATTATAAGCCAATTTCTTAAGCATTTTGTTGTTATTAAGTTAGTGCCTCTCCCATGGCTGACCCTGGTGATAACTGATTTACACAGGTTTTATTTAGTTATTGAAGGAAAGTTTTTGATGATGTATATAAGTGTTGAAGAAGAAACTACTTCAAAAATTAATTTAATAACAAAGACTATTGACCTCAACCTCAATGTAAAAGTGTTTGTGACCACATTTATCATAGAACAAGTTGCTACCCTTGTTAATTTTTCTCAATAAATTCACTAAATAATGAATAATTAATTTGAATCATTAAATAAGGAAATATATATGACAGTTAACTCAAAGTCCACTATCCAAGTCACACTATCACTATAGCTATCCATCTCTCACTGGGAAAATTAAATGTTTACTTGAAATAAAATCTATATCTAAATAATGGCTGGAAGTAATGTGAGTCCTGCCAGTCATGTAAATTACAACTTCCTGAGATAAATCTTCCCTTAATACCTAGACATTAGGCATAACTAATATGACCATAATAATGTCTTATACATAATAGTTTAATGAACTATTCTCTCTCCCTCGCATTCTTGCTCCTCCACGAGTACTTTTCCACAAGTTTACTTAAAGTAAACCACAATGACAATCTTGTCGGAGAGGTTACTTACGTATTTTCTATTGATGTTCTTACAGCTGAAGCATAAATAAATGCTTAGTTTCATTTTAGTCACATAAAACATTTATATATTACAGTCAAGTTTAAGTTTAAATAGTTACTTACTGAATAGAGTTTGGCACAAGACTGTATGACATAGGTTCAGTGACCCACCTGTATCAAGACTACCTGCACCATCCTCACCTACCTCCACTACAGTACATGGTGTAACAGTGAAGACCTCAAGCGGCAACAATAAACTCCTTTAATACCCATACGTATACAGTACACAAACTCTTTTGTAATATAACTTTAATTGGTAATATTCAAGTATGTCTATGTCTGATTAATAAAATTATTTGTCCAAAATTATGTTACAGATAAATCGTTTTAATTTTCATCTAAAAACATAAATTCTCTCCCCTTTTAGCACTTTTTTATCTTAATGAAATCTAGGAGAAACATTAAACCATTGGGCTGGACAAAGGGAATGTTTGTTTATGTTAGAAAGCAGAAAACATGAACCTACCCAACATAAATGTCTACTTTTACCATTTTATTTTTGGTTGCATTGTGTTTAGTTGAGTTAAAGAAGTTTAATAAGGTCTGGCTGTGTTGGGTTAGGGAAGTTTAATAAGGTCTGGCTGTGTTGGGTTAGGGAAGTTTAATAAGGTCTGGCTGTGTTGGGTTAGGGAAGTTTAATAAGGTCTGGCTGTGTTGGGTTAGAAAAGGTGACTAAGAGCTGTTGGGTTATGGAAGGTTAACGAGGTCTCACTGTGCTGGGTTAAGGTAAGTTAATAAATTTTTAAATCTTATAATTTAAGCTTATTGTAGAGAATTTGTAGTCAATAAGTTGATTAAGCAGACTTTGTATACTTAATAATTACCATTTAATATATTAATTTTGCTTACCTAATTGTTATAGCAGAATATAACAGACACATGTCAGCTGGGGCATTTTCAAGGCTGGCATAGTGATAAAAGTAGGTTGGGTACTGCATTTATATTGAACTTTCATATGTTGGCATTAATGTGTGTGAAGGTCATGGTAACCTTCAATGAAGAACTTTATGTTTCCATACAGTTACACAACACACTTTCCAATTCATTATGTGTGCAACTGCCAGTAATTATTGTCAATTATTAATATCTAACTTTCTGATACTAATCATCATTCTATACCCTTCCCATTTTTCCATCTTAAAGATTTTGAAGAAATTTCACTTGCACATTACTCATCTAATTGTCAGGCCAAACATGCGTGTGAGGGCCGGTGTATGTGTTGAGGCAACTGCCAGCAAGAGTGGCAAATCATTAAGGTCTAAACCTAATGCTCGAGTTAACTCTGGTAAATGGTAGGGTCCAAGACCTGCTTCTGATCCTGCAAGAGAAACACCAGCTCCACCCAGTAAGTACTCGGCCAACAACTGTGACTTCAGGTACAATTCACACAAGCGTTCTTCCAGGTGCTGCATGATCTGTGAGGAGAAATTTTATTCAACATTTCAACAATTTCAATAATCAAGAAATACAAGAAAGCATTCATTCAATAGTTACATTTTAATTTGCCTTTGATTAACATTACAGTACACATGAAAGAGTTTACTAGTATGCCACGAAAGTAATGATAGGTACAGTAATAAGTATATGAGTACTTAAAACAACTACTACAGAGAAGTATAATCCTTAGTATCTTATCTTCTCAACCCTCCGTTGAATAGGATTAACTAGCAGTGCCTATATATCAGTGACCTATTCTCCACATACCACATATATCAACTACCCTATAACTATACAGTACAGTGTATATACTGTAAAAACACAGTATATGACCTAATCAAAGATACACTCTGGACACCCAATGAACATTTAATTTGGGAAGCCCACATTATCCTCCCAACAAATTTATATTAATAAAACAAAATCCATATCAAGGATATTCTATTTTTCTAATCAGGTTCTATATTATGGATGCAGGCTTCTTTGCCTGTATATTCAGGTCTTTAACCATTTCTTAGGTGGATTCATCCTCAATTTAATTCATACGTAAACCTTTTATTATGCTGTCTACCCGGTTATGTGGGCTGTTAGGGTAGTGATGCCTTTTTCATATCAGTGTTTTATGTATGTAATGATCTGTGTTCTAGGTATCTTTATGGATAGGCCTGATGAATTTCAAAATGAACACCACGAACACCTGTTGTCTCGGTAGGGTTATCAAAATCCTTCGTCCGTTATGTCATATTTTCTAGCACAGAGTCGTAAAGAAACTTTCTGGAGTTTGTGTACATCCCTGATACAGAATTTTGAGTTCATGGTGCTAAGGTCCATTGCAGCTATGTTAAGTCACTAATTAGCTCTCAACATTACTTACTTCACCAGCCTATCAGTCCCAAGACTAATTAAATTTAGTGATTCTACTGTAAAAATTTAAATTACTGTATAAAGATGCATCAATGCTGGGTACTTACAAATTGGGGGTCGACATCCAAGCGAGTGAGGTCCAGCAAAGAATCTGTGATGGCTGACACTAGGGGAGACATGCCCACTCTCAGACCCACTTGACCACTCGAGCCACTACGTTCCACAACGTATGAGTGAGATGACATCACCTGCACTTCCCTGGTGTACCAATAAAGTTTTCTTAAATGAGACACTTACAGTAGCTAACCTAACACCCAGGTTAATGTATAACAGTAAAAACAAAAGATGACAATTTGTCAAATCATTCCAAAGTCATATAGCAACAAATGTTAATAGACCAATATATTCTGAAAATGTTTTAAACATGATAACAATTATGAAAAAGTTCTAAGCAAACAAGGTTTCAATGGTTGCCTAAGTATTTTGTGTAAAGACTATCATTGTTCACAAATGAAAGACATAACTACAGTACTGTATATCTTTGATGATGTAGATGGGAAAAGGGTCTTGACCTGTTGTGCTACTACTATTTACCAGAATCTACAACTCGTGAGAATATTTGATGGTAATATCCTCTGCATTAACCAACAGTGCTAAGTCTTGTTTATAGACCTTTGTATTGAATTAAATAAATCTGCCATCAACACTCCATCATCATACATAATAATCAATAACCAAGATAACCTCCTCCATACTTACCTCAAACTTTGCACTATACTGTACTGTAATTTAATTTTCTATATCACTAAAAGCTTTATACACCTTCTGTAATACAATTATCTAGAGGAAAACAAAAGTAATAAATATATACCAAGTGTCTGTGTCAGCCACAACTGCCACAGCTTCGGCGACCTGCTGATCAAGAGTGGAGCGTTGAGCCGCAGCCGAGAGATCTTGTCGAAGTGCATCCTCCCAGTGGAGAGTCTGAGTGGTGGCATGGACCACAAACACTGAGGAATAGTGGTCCATTACACCCCCGAGTAAGGAGCCTGCCAGACACATAACACTGCTGCTCCCTGAAGGTGATCCCCCGGGTGCACTATTGTGAGTCACACAAGCACACCTGTCACAGAAATATTTTAATGGTACATGAACCATAATGGGTGACAATAAAATAACAGTTTCACCAGTAAAAAGGCTATACTGCACACAAAAAATTCGGCAATACTTCTATGATACTTTTAAGACAAAAGGCTTCAACTAACATGTAATGACTAGATATATATAACCAGGGTACTAAAATTGTGTAGAACTGTGGGAATATATTACATCATACAGTACTAGACTCTTTTAACATATGCCATCAAAAATAACTTAGTTTATTAGGTCTATTCATAATTAGGTTTAACGGCCAAAACAGCTTATAGAGGAAAGTAATGTTCAGTACACTTGCTCTTCATCCACTGAGTTAAATGAGAAACTTAAGATCAAGATATCTATGTCCTATTTAATGTAATTCCCACTTGCATTCACGCAGCTATGACATTGCAGAGCTCTGTGAATGTTTGTAGATATCCCCATAAGACAAAATATACCGTTAGTAGCGTACAACTGTTAAAGAAGAGATCTCAAGTTTGGCAATCTTAAATCACACAAGCTGGGATACAAATTCTCTAATCTCTACTTCCTAATCCCTATATTAATGTTTTTATTTTTTGAGTCGTCATTTGAATCTGTACTGTGATAATGACTTACCTGGGCATTTGGATATTGGTCGACTGCTCAGTAACACAAGCAACATTTACTTCTTTCAACACTTCACTTGTAGAATCTTTCTTCAGAGATGAATCAAAACTATCAGCACACATTGAACCACAGGTGCTATGAGACTGTTGTCTGCTACATATGCAAGATTCACCCTTTACAGCTTCCGGCAATGGTTTTTGTATATCATGTTTCCTTTCACTATCAATGGGTTTCAATGATTTTTTAACTGTTGCAGGTTCTTTGTGGTCTGCTGCCTGTTCCTCCACAACCCCTTTTAAAGGTTCAGCTTTCTGATGGTAAAGCACTTTTGAGGCAAATACACCATTGGTTGGATCACTGTGATGTCTTCTGTGTGTTTTAGTGACTACTTTCATATTGGTAATGGTATTACTTTCACCCAATTTAGGATCCTGCTTGAAATCACTCAGGGAAGGGTAGATTACCATCTCTCTCTCAAGTTTGGTCAGGTCTCGGGCAGAATCGCGTCCAACATTCCTGGTTCTGACTATTTTTCTTGTGTCAAGTGGCGATGGTAAACAACATACTCCGGCTACTTTAGACACCCCGAAATAATTTTTTTCTTTACCGGCAGCAACTATCCCTTCAAACCCTATGGCAGTGGCAACATTACTGTTCTTTGAAACATGAGGGAAGGCTGCTTCACACTTAACTGGCAAGTTAACTTTTGGTGTCATTTCCATGGAGTCCTTTACTCCATCATGAACATCTCTCTCTTCTAATAAATATAAAACTTTTCCTCCTACTTCTATCTCAGGGTGAATATCTGTTGCTGGCACAGTAACTTCATCTAGAGATATTTTTTCACTGGTTCTAGTACCATAAAATTTTACACTATTACTACTTCCATTTTGGTCATTATCAACAAAATCCATTTCTGTGGAGTGATTCAAACCCACATCACTACAATGAAAACCATAACCCAAGGCCTGTGACTTTTTGGTCCGAGGCAAAGAATTAACACTACTCACAGGTTGTGACTTATCAAGTGATACCTTTGTCCTGAGCTGGTCAGCTTCCTGAGACACAGACTGATCTTTCTTCTGAGATCCACTACACTTAGATACTCTGAAAAGTTTATGTACTTTTTCAGCAATTATTTCTGGTTCTAATATGACTGGCCCAAAAGTTTCTCTATGGTCATCTAGCTCATGCAGTGTTGGATACAAACGTTCAGGGGTTACTTTCACATTCTTGATAATAGTACTGTCACTACCACTAGAGTTTGAAAAATAAAGATTTGAATCACTGCCATTATCACTTACTAAAGAGGCTAGATTTGTTGAGGTCTTACTAGAGGTTAAAGTTCTACCAACATCATGTGATAGTGTTAACAGTGTTGCTTCATCTGGAGATAAAAAGTCATTGCCTTTATTCTCAAAACTTTGCTGATTTTTGTTATTTTTGTTACGCGAAACACTTTCAATATATTTAACATCTCTAATTACAATCTCTTCATCATCATTTAGCATCCACTTTGAAGATTGATCTGTTTCTTTTTTGTGAGGCTGCTGTCCTACTGCTGCAGGATCTGGTTCACACGCTGACCCACGTTGAGGTTCTTCAGCCTGAGTGTGACTAGCTGTCCTCATGGTCATCTCAGCAGTGCCATCTCCCCTGGACTCTGTAGGGAGAAGCCTGCTGTTACGTCCATCCCGGTTTGTTCGCCAACTTCGTCTGATACTGGACTCCCTCTGTAACTGTCGTGTCTGTGGCTGTTGTGCATCCCTCACACAATCTTTCTGAGAGTCTCTTCTTCCACCCTCAACAATGGTAACAATGGATGCGACAGAAGAAGTGCGTGAAAAACATGGACGTTGTTGTTGTTGTTGTTGTTCAGGAGATGTGTTACTTCCCATATGGTGGGACTGAATGTCTTGTTCCACAACCTGAGAAAAAAGAAAAAATAGAGCCAATATATATAGAGCTGGACAGTATGGTGCCACATAATTTTATTATTTCCATAACAACACAAGCAGGAGAGGATGACCCCTCACTCTGCATGTATACACCTGGTGTACACTCTGCATGCATACACCCAGTGTACACTGCATGCATACACTTGGTGTATACTCTACAAACATACACCCAGTGTACACTCTACATACATACACCAGGTGTAAACTACAGCACATATATGCATACACCCATGTACATTCTACATACACCAAAGGCTTATGGAAGAAAATTACATTAAAATAAATAAATAAGTGCTAAAATGTTTGTTACCTGTGAGCAGCGAATTACGTAGGAAAGGATAGTGAGGAGCCGAGCAAGGAGGGAGGCGTTTGAGCCAACCAAGAGAGTACGAGCTGCTCGAGGGGGATATCCAACTGCACCATTTAATTCACATAATTGCGCCCAAATAGCATTATAGGGATGGGACTCGTTAAGGCGCTCAACCTAAAACAAATAAGATAATTATTGTAGTGTGTGTGTTAAGGGGGAGGGCACATAAATGTAAAAACACACACGCCATCTCTGAAATCAAGATAAACACTGGGACCACTGCTTCAAGACCAGACAAACAGACTACTGTACACCTGTCTTCAACACGCTAGTTAGCGATTATTTTTTTCTTTTAAAACTACACTTGGTCCTTTTACCATCTATGAAATCAAACAATATACAGAACTTTCAACATACAGGTGTACTGTATTTTAATTAGATATCCAGCTGATGAAGCCAGTGAGGGAATAATAACAACCAATTGATGTGGCTGGGGACGGATATTATCATTCAATGATACACAAGCTTATGATCATTCTGTCCTGTATGTGTGCATCCCAAAATTCCTAAAACAAAGAATTACGCACCTGCACAAACACACACAAACAAAGATATGCACACATAAACAGTCTCTTCTATGTTTTAGTGATTACCATCACATTTTTAGCGACAATTTTTAAACAATATCCCCAAAAATTAGCTACTGTACTATAAAAATATCTTAAGTATACAAAGAACTAATCCAACAATAAGTAAGTGGCAAAAAGCTGTGGTATCTTTAAGCATGAATGTCAGTGCCAAAATTTATTTCATGCTTTATCTACAGTGCTTCAACAATGCATCAAACTATACTTTAATAAATCCATGAGCATAGAGGAATACTTTAGGAAAATCATGTTTTCTGTAAAAATATCTTAATTACTGTATATGAGGCAGGAAGTGATGGTAGCTAATGACAGTTATGCTTTTTATCAGCGAGACAGTGGAAGCCAGTGCACTCACACTCATTTTTTATATTGTACCAACAATGCCATGCAATGTTTTTCTTCACCTCTGGCCACCACAAAATGTACTGTATACAGAACATATATTCAAGTTTAATTTTGTTTTGGGGTTGAAACTCTTTGGACTGGAGTACATCTCAGTTTATAATGGGTTTTTGGGGTGGAACTCTTCTCAGGTTTTAACACAGGATCCTATGAGATAAGGGATCCCATTTAGCTAGAATTCATCTAATGAAATTATTTTTTATCCCACTAATAAGTTTGCTAATGGTTTTTGATTGAAAGTAATATCTTATTATTTAAATCAGAGCAGACAGATTGTTGTTTAACACTACATATCAGTGATACCTACAGGCTGTAAAGAGCACCCACCTGACATTACTCTATGGGTGTAAAACATGGTGTCTGCACTTAGGAAAGAGAAAATTTGAAACAAAGTGAATAAATTGCAGCAATACAGTACAGTGGAATGAATAGGATGCACAGAATAACACAGAAGTGAGATAATTTGGAAGACTAAGAAAAAAATCCATCACACAGTTAACCAGAGTTTGCTTAGGTGGTACAGTATAAACAAGTAGAGAATAAGAAGTAAATGATTGCCAAAAAGTAAAATTCAAGGGTGGATGATAGAAGGGTCAGGAAGGGTGAGGCTAAGGATGAATTGGAAGTGACAGGGATGGACTTCCAGGAGGCAGCAATGTGTGTGATGTGACTGGACAGTCTTAAGTACAGTTGTATGTGGGGGATAGATCTACAATACTGCAGATGAGTGATGACAGCTTATATGATATGACAAGGATAAGCCAGAAAGATGGCTTGTGGCTTTGTTGTGAAAGGGAAACACCAAAGAAGAACACAACTGCTCCAGAAGAAAGAGTGACTGAAAGACAGCACATGAAGAGAATGGGTTTGTTCTTGGTTCCAGTTACCATGCAACATTTCATATTTCTGCTTACCCATGATGCCTGAGCAGCAGTAGGTGTACACACTACATGGTCCCCAGGAGCAACAGTTGACACCCATCCAAGATGATGAGTCAGCACAGCAGTCAACAACTTGCTCACAAAACTGAAAATGTTCAGCAAAACAATTTACTTCATTTATACACAATTACAGAATACTTGTCCTGTCTACCAATACATTATGCTACCTTCTCCTATATTAAAAATACACTCATATATAATTCATCTTATATCACAGAGCACTACTCTTGCAGCAGGAGCCAACACTAAATCAAATTCGGCTCATATTTTGTATTAAACCCTTCCTTATTGCAAGAAAAACTGGCATATACACATACAACAACAATAGTCTACGTAAAATGGAGTTGTTTGAGCATGTGATAGGATGCAGATTATATTATACTTACATGTCAAAAGAAATCTTAGGCTCTTAAACAGTAATACAATATATGATAGACAACTGTAAGGCTGTACTGATGAACAACACCATGAAATATACAGTTTGTGGACACTGTAAAAGAGGAAGAAATCATCATCACTGTTTACAACCATCTTCCACAATTAATGTAGCAGCTCTCCATGGTTTCTTGCAGCCTCTCTTCTCAGATTTTTATCTGGTCATTTCTCCCAACCTCTCCCCAGGTCAATTTTGGCTATCCCTGACTCCCCTCCCCTTCACAATCAAGCATATCCACCTCCTGACCCAATGGGTCTCCATTCTCACCAAATGCCCATACCATCTCGGCCTATTTCTGCATAAAACCTTGCCAATACTCTCATTACCCAGCTGCCGTCTTAACTCCGAAGAGGGTTTCCTATCTCGGTACATTATCTCTCAATGTTAAGTTGAACATCTACCTCACCACTATCATTTAATTGATTTCAACTTACTCAAACCTATGTTTGAGTATGCCATCATCTTTAACCCACAATTTTTCACTATTATTCAACATCACACTTATCACATCGGTTGTACAGTCGACCCTCGTTAATTCGGACTAATAGGGGGGAAGGGTGTCAGTTTTAGCCGATTGTCCGAATTAACCGATTTAGGGGTTAATATTGCATTATATTTCAAAGTCATTGTTTTCGTCACGATTTTATCCCGTACGTCATTTCAGCAAAAATATTACATTTCCGTGAATGTATTATATCAAGCACAGTATGAATAGAATATCATTGTAATATAACAGTATTTTAACCGAAAACTAGTAAAAAAACGAATAACATCTCAAGAACATCGGAAGCTTAGGTAAAGTCTTTTGTTTTCGTCACGTATTTTATCCTATTTTACATTGAAATACATCACGTTTCAGCAAAACTACTGTTTATTTCCGAGAATATATTCTTTCAGGCGCAGTTTAGGTAAAATATACGTGTGATGTAACAGTTTTTTAACTGAAAACGATTCGAAAAACACGTATCCTCAAGCCCTGTTCAAGGAGAGGACTGGGAGAAGCTGTTTCATGCTGCAGATGATGACAAGGAAAATGATTTGGATGGATTTTAATGAAAATATTCAGAAATATGGTATCGTAGTATTTATTCAAGTCAATTAGGATAGAATATTATTGTAATACAACAGTTTTTTAACTGAAAACCAATCGAAAAGTGATTACGGTAACATCTTTTGAACAAAAGAAAGCGAAAGTCATTGTTTTCGTCACGATTTTATCCCACTTTCCACTGTAATACGTACATCATTTCAGCAAAAATACTACATTTCCGTGAATGCATTATATCAAGCACAGTATGAATAGAATACCATTGTAATATAACAATATTTTAACCAAAAACTATTAAAAAAACGAGTAACTTCTCTTGAACATCGGAAGGTTAGGTAAAATCTTTTGTTTTCGTCATGTATTTTATCCTATTTTACATTAAAATACATCATGTTTCAGCAAAACTACTATTTATTTCCGAGAATATATTCATTCAGGCACAGTTAAGGTAAAATGTACATGTGATGTAACAGTTTTTTAACTGAAAACGATTCGAAAAACACGTGTGCCGTCTAGCTGATACTCAACAGCTGGTGGTGCGTCATGCGTCGTTGTAAACAATAGGAGGTTGAAGTAGATTACCGGGTATTATATTAAGTGTGAAATATCAAAAAGGTTTTTATTACCGGTATTTTTTGTAGATCAATGAGAACTGTTATACCGTATATGATATGATAAGTTAGCCTGTGCTAAGAACTTCAACATAGACTACTGAAAACACGTTGTAAGGTAATTTAGCCTATTGTAAGTTGGTGAGCTTCATTTGCTGAAGAAATTGCACAACTTTTCATTACTAATTGGTACATATTTTACGTTTCCATTGTTTACTGGCAGTAAATGGTAAATATTTTTCATGTCTGAAGCTAAAAGTTGCATTCCCCCCCCCACACTAGTGGTGATGTTACATTTAACCAAAAAGACGCTGGTGTTTTATCCCAGCAGTGGGTGGACCAGAATTTTAGCTTAAGGTCCGCGTAGGTAATATTCCTACAAGTTCGTTCAGATTTTGTCCGAATTATCCGAAATCCGGATTAAAGGTGTCCGAATTAACGAGGGTCGACTGTATACACCTTAACTTACAAGAAGAGAAATGGTCCTCCTGCTGTCAATAAAAGTAACAACTCCCTAAACTTCTTCAAAGCACTTCTGACTCTGACAAATGAGTCAGCTTCAGCACCCCCTCCAGCAATGATTATGTCAACCAGATAACAAAACTCAGATATACAGTAGTCCAAATGTTTAGTATTTCCAGCCTTGCTAAGGCCACACGATTTTCTGCACAATTAACACACTTAAATCCTGCATTTTGGCATTAACATTAACATCAGGATTGAGCCACAAACTAGTCACTGACTGTGTTAGTCGTTTAATAATAACACATCTGGCTGAAAGACACATCCAGCAGTACCATGTGAGCTCATACACAGGCTGAGCAAGTGGCCCATGAGGTAAAATATTCTATATCAATAATGAGTTGCTGATAAGCCTGGAGCAGTAGTCATTGTTGTACTTGTGTAGCATGATACATTTAAGAATGTATTTATCAGGTTAACTGAGGAATACCCAGTTACCTGTACTACAATGATGATCGGAGATGCACTAGTTCCTGTGTGTGTGTGTGTGTGTGTGTGTGTGTGTGTGTGTGTGTGTTTTGTGTTCACCACTGAGTGACGGGTCCCCCTCTCCTTGACACCCACAGCTCACTTCTTCAAACTAGCACTGAACTTTACACAACTTAAAATTATCTCTTCCTACAGCAAGTGTGACAATGCAACAAGTCTTTATATGTACATTTTGTACAGTAAAACTTCCTCTCTGCTGTGAGAGCCAATGATTCATTCCTCTCATACTGATCATCTTACCATTTGTAAAAGTATACAAGAAACTACAGCACATGGGGATTACTGTATTATTTATTTATCATCATCTTTATGCTTCAACAGTTTTGTTTCTTCTTGTATTAGTTTATTTTCTGGCTGTGGCACCAGAAAATTGCATTAACAACTAGAAATGACTGGCTTTGGGAGAAATCTGACTGGTCAAGGGAACAGTGATAAGTACTGGAATAATCCGTTTACTAAGTTGTCTGGACATCAGTTTATCCCGTTACAGGAGGCTTACTGTAGTACTGTACTGTGCTTGAAACAAAGAGAAAAAGTCTAGAGCTGATCTTTACAGAATAAGATTGTTAAGAGGAGGTCTTGATGTATGTCAGAAGATTGAAAACATTAGTCTTGTTAATAAGATGAATACTGCACTTCAATGAGAAAAAATAATCAAGGTTTTCTGTGAAAAGCCACATAAGTTACACCAATCCGCAGTTCTGCACTGAGGCTTTAACCAGTTATCATAATAGTCAGTCTATCAGCCAATGATCCCCCTTTGTCAGAATCCTGGATCTGATCCAACTTCAAGTTTGCAATGAACTGCAACAAAACACTAACCACTCATAAAGCTTTCTTTTAGTAGTTTCAGAGGTTTATCACACTGAAAAAGTTAATAATTTTAGTAAAAACATTATCAGCAAATTACTCTGAATATGCAATAAACTTACAAGTTGGTTTGCTTTGTGTCAAAAGTGGTAAGTACTGAGGCCAGGGTATCTACAAAGGTGGAGCACAGGGTCTGCCGATCACTTGTCGATGGTTTGCCCAACAGCCCCAGCCAGACAGGTCGACACAGTCGTGGCCCACTCACCAGATCTATTATGTCCTGCAACCATTTAATAAAATGCACATAAAAGTAGTAATTAAGCACTCAGGACTTTTTTCAGGTTATTCTAATTAATTACAGTAAGTAAGTAGTTCATCCACAACCTTCATCCTGAAGTCACAAGCATCATTATTTTATATACTGTATTTGTGTTAGGTGTTTTTTGCTATAAATAATCAACTTGTTACTGCTCCAGAAAATCATACAATAGACCACAAGTACAAGAAATTATGACTGATAATGATAAATATTCATATTTAAAATAAAATAAAATTTAAAAGGCAAACAAACAGTATTCTGTTTAAGATCCTCTAAAATTGTTTGGTGCTCATACAGAAGCTGTGGGAGGATGCATCAACCATTTTCTCAACTCTTTGATGACAAGTCCAGAGTTACATGACCATTACGTGAATGGATCTACAGTGGTCCCTTGGTTAACAAACACAATTCGTTCCAGAGGGTCGTTCGTTAACCGAATCCATTGTTTCAATGGGATATTGGGTAATTGGTTCCAGTTCATCGAAAAGTACATACAAAGTAAAAATAAAAAAAAATGCAGTAAAGTACACTTACTTTGAGGTGTGTATGTAGAAGGTTCCTGGTTGATGATGATGATGATGACGATGAGAATTAGAAGTGGGAGTGGAGGAGAAGGGAGAAGAGAAGGAAGTGGGGATGGAGGAGAAATCACCAATAAAATTTTAAGTTCACTAGGTGTAATTCAAGAGTATTTTATTTAAATCAACACTGCACTGCGCTATATATTATCAATATGATAACTAAATTTCAGAATGACCAATACATGTAATTTCAATGAAAAATGCAAAAATATTCAAGACACCAACAAAATAGATGTTCACACCACTGTCAACAAAGCCCAACTGACGCTTAGTGGCTGAGTCAAGTGTCTGATGGGCGCACAAAAAACTAGTTCCCTGTACTGCATATATTATCAATATGTTAAATAAATGTTAAAATGACTAATAATTTTAATATAAAAAATGAAAAAATATTAAAGAGCACAACTTTCTTGATATTTACTCCACTGGAAACGAATGTAAACATAGAACAGATTACTGAATTGGCAGACTAGCCCATCAGCTGAGCAGCTGATGCTCGCAACAAAACGTGATGTTCATAAGGATTTCGTTAATCAAAGTTTTGTTCATTAACCAAATTGAAGATCCTTATGGGAGGTAATTCGTTTACCGAAATTTCATTAATCGAGGGACCACTGTATTAGCATTCATTAAGGAAGTTACCAAAACCGTTTCTGTAATTACTGGTTTTAAGGTCAAGAAATTCAACTTAATATCCCATAAGAAAAGACAGACCACTGTAACTAGGCAGTAATATCTCCGTTAACCGGAATCCCTCAAACCCGGAACTCTCCGATAACCGGAATTGAAATTTTCTTGGAAAATCGTTCCCAAAGCCGGAAAATAAGATTTTCTGAGGGGCACATTTTCCGTAAAATTCTTCGAGAAAATTTTCCTGATACCCAGAAAATTCCGGGGATGGGGGGAGTTTTTTCTGTGTTTGAGAGATGAAAATCAGGAGCATTTTCTGGAAATTCCGAGAAAAATTTTCCTTTACCCAGAAAATTCCGGGGGATGAGGGACATTTTTCCGGGTTCAAGAGATGATGCAATAGGTTTTAAGGCTGTATCAAAGGGTATACTGTAGATGTACTAAATATACATAATCTTTTCATTTTTTACAATATGTTTGGTATCTACAAGAGTAAAGTTGGACTTGCAAACAAGCCCCAGGAACGTAACTCGTTTGTAAGTAGAGGAGCACCTGTCTAGTTTACATTAGGCCATTAAACTGAATTTCAAGGATAAATTGAATATCATTTATGACCTTATATCTGTATTATTGAATCTTGTACCTGAGGCCAGCTAGATACAGTACAGTACATGGAAAAGGCTACCAAAAGATAATTCTGAAGTGCTACTATGACATACACACACTGAGCCTACTGCTATTGTAAGGCACAAGAAATCTTTTAAACCAACCATGTCACAACCTTCCTGTGTTACTCTAAACCTTGGAGTAAACATGGTTCCTCAAATAACCCAGTGCCTCCTGCAGAAAGGGCTTTACATTCCCCTCCAAAATTGGTAACAAGTATGCAATGGCTCCCAAGTTTTGAGCCAATACTTTGCAGGTCAATTATGAGAACTCGAGGCACCTTGGAAGTTTACACACATGTGAATCAAAATGTAAAGCCTTTCAACTATTAACCAGAAACAACTAATTCATTATATACTTGGAAATGCACCCTAGAAAAATCTGCTGCTTCTATAACAACAATAATTAAATTATAAAAATATAACTACTGTAAAAGTAACGCTATACTGCAGGTATAGAGAACTACTATAAGTAACACTAAGCAACAGGTATACAGAACGACTATAATTAACACTATACTACAGGTATACAGAACTACTATAATTAACACTATACTTCAGGTATACACAACTACTATAAGTAACACTATACAACAGGTATACAGAACTACACTGTACTATAATTAACACTATACTACAGGTATACAGAACTACTATAATTAACACTATACTACAGGTATACAGAACTACTATAAGTAACACTATACTACAAGTTTACAGAACTACTATAAGTAATACCACAGCAGGACTTCGGGAGTCTTTTTTATAATGTTATTACTGCCCTTTAACAATGAAGGTCTTTAAGCACACTAGTACAAAAACATTAAATATTATGCAAGACAGAACTCTCTGTGTGATGGTGTCTTCCTCTTCTGGATGGTGTACCAAAATCCACTGAGTCAAGCTCCTCATAAAGATGATGTTTATGTTAGTAATGGATCTTAAAAGTTAAATTTTTTTTAAAGTCTATAAAGAAAATAGCTAGTGGTCAAAAAACACATTCATGGAAGTGTTAAAACTTGACAGGCAGTACTGTCCTACCAGTATATAAACACACAAACATGCATATACAATGTATGTATTACAGTAAGTCTATGTGAATATGAATTCTCTTCACCTGACAATGTATTTTCCATGTGTACTGTCTGTCCTAACCTCACATTAAAGGCAGAACAAAACAATGTTAGACGAACTATCTTTCAAGAAAGGTACAAATGATACTAGGAGGATGGGATGCCCTTTTGTGATTTAAGAAACTAAAACAGTATTTACACTATTGGGTTAGTACAATATTACACCCCTACAAGAACCTGTAGGCACTGAGGGCAATAGCTGTGTCTGGCAAACATTCAATAAGAACTACCTTACCAAGCTGAAACAAACTTCACACAACACTTATACATGAATTATAAGTTCACACCAACCTGCTGGAGCTGTGTGACAGCTTGATGGGTTGTTGAGACGAAACTCTGGCGGTTTAAGTAAGCAACATCTAGAGATGACTGGAGCTTGTTCATCAAGGCTTCTATTACACTAAGATGCAGAAATACCCATTCTTCCACCTCTAAAATTTAGGATACTCAAATTTCAATATATATATATATATATATATATATATATATATATATATATATATATATATATATATATATATATATATATATATATATATATATATATATATATATATATATATATATATATATATATATATATATATATATATATATATATATATATATATATATATATATATATATATATATATATATATATATATATATATATATATATATATATATATATATATATATATATATATATGCAGTGGGGTATGCTATAACGAACGGATCCTACTACGAATATTCCTATAACGAACGGTTTTACCTATAAAATTGAGAATGCTATAACGAACGAAACTCCTACAACGAACATTATTTAAAATTTTTATTTATTTTTTAATAATTTATTGTTTTTTATTACAAGTATTAATGATATTCTTTATTTCAGGGGTTTAGATGCATATTTATGCACTTTTTTACAATTTTTACAATTTTATTATATTTTTCAGTGTTAAGTGGTTGTATTTGGGGGCCTGGAACGGATTAATCCTATAACGAACGAATGCTATATTCTATTAGATATATATATGTATATATATATATATATATATATATATATATATATATATATATATATATATATATATATATATATATATATATATATATATATATATATATATATATATATATATATATATTTATATAAAACACTGCAGATACTGTACCTTATTTATCATATAACTTCTGGAGATAAAGTAGAGCAAAATACTACATAAAGAAGTGCTAATTTACCTCTCCAGTTCAGACAAGTTATTGCCAAGTTGGATAATGACAGCAAAGCCCAACTTGGTAACCCGACGTGCAGGCTGTGACAACGAAGCAGTTCCTTCCTCTTGAATTTCACCTTCACGTCCCAGAGCTTCCAGAGAGGTGTTGACATTGCGCAAGAACCGCCGCTGTAGGCTGTTAAAGCTACCTGAATGTTTGAGACTACTGCCTGATCCTGCAACAAGAGAACCACCTTTACCAATCTATGGAACAACTCAGCCACTTACCACACAGTAACATGGATCAGTGCATTACTGTATTATAGTAATGAGTGCAGTATGATCTGAGTACTAGTAGAGAGTGCAGCATTATCAGAGTACTGGTCGTGAGTGCAGCATTATCAGAGTACTGTACTGGTTGTGAGTGCAGCTTTATATGTTTATGATGTGACAAGGAAACCTTCTTTAAGTGACTTCTGCAGGAGTAACACACATCAGAGCAGATAACGAGGCACAGGGAGTAGCTATTTACCTTGACGTGAGGATGGTGTTCCCTGAGGGGTGTTGGGTATTGATGGTGGGGAAAGAAATGAGCCACACGTTGATGAATATGGCGAGGGAGGTCCACCAAATCCTGAATCTCCTTCACTGTTAGATGTACTCAGCATGTGGGGCATTTCCATTGCCCAAGTGGAGCCTCCACCACAGCCACCTGGCCCCCAAGGTGCTTCCAAGCTGTCTGTTCGTGACGTGGCTTCACTCCATGAACTAATGGAACTACTGAATGATGTATCTTCTATTCCCTGGTCACTGTTAGAAATGTATGAAAAAAACACTTACAGTAATATACATCCAGAGTAAAATGATAAATAAAGAAATCTATCCATAAACATAGAGTGACAATTTACTAGCAGTCTGTACTGGATATCAGTGAATGAGTAAATGCCTTCTTCTCACCTTAGTGCTGTATCACAAAATTATACAATACATATACATACTAGTGATAACCATAAATGAGACCAGTTGCTATTTCAGCCCTTATGGATCACCCAAATACCAGCTCCCATCCCCACCCCAGATAGTTTTGGGTAGTTAAACTTCAGGCTGGTTAAGCTGGGAGGCTGTGTCGGGGAGGGGAAGGGAGGGGAGGGGAGGGGAGGGAGCAGACTTCAGGTGATCCATAAAAACTAAAATTGTATATGGTCTCCTTCGTTGGCCTCACACAGATGAATGGCGGAAAAAAATTAAATAATAAATAAGGAACACGACCAGCAAGGCAAACAAAAGAAAGAAGGGAAAGCCTGTAGGAGGTAGGAGTTGGAAGAACTGATGGGGTGTACAGTAAGAGGGGATGGCTGGGACAACAGGTGGATGGAGCCTAAATTACAGTTAAGGTACATGACTGGATGAGGGTAAACATAGGTAGAGTCTAAACAAGAACAAGAAGTGTGATTTAACTGGAAGAACATGAGAGTGGAGCAAATGTGTGTGTGTGTGTGTGTGACTGGAAAAACAGGAGAGTGGAACCATGCAAAAAAAAAAATTATGTATACAGTGGTCCCTCGGTTAACGAACGCCTCGGTTAACGAAATTTCAGTTAACGAACTGCCTCCCATAAGATTCTTAAATTCGGTTAACGAACAAAAATTCGGTTAATGAATTTCTTACGAACCGACCTCAACATGTTTTCGCTTGCACTGGCCGGTCAACCAGCTTTAGTATTAGTCTGCCAATACATTAATCAGTTCTAGGGCTTAAATTCCTTACTATTTTAGTAAATATCAAGAAGTTTATACTATTCAATAATTTTAAAAGTTTAATATTCAATTTTTTAGTCATTTTAACAATTATTGAACATAATTGAAGGTAAAGTGACTAGTTTAATGCACGGCATCCAGCCTCTTAACACAGCAAACAGGCGTTAGTCTCTCTCTGTTTTCACTGGAGGTAACATCTTACTTGAGACTCTCTTCAACTAAATGCTTTTTTTCTGTTTCCAAGCAAATTATTGGTCATTTTAAAATATATTTTACATATTGACAATATATAATGCAGTGCAGTGTTGATTTAAAGAAAATAATCTTGAAATACACCAAGAGAACTATAATTTTATGGTGAAATGGTGCCATGGGGTGACTTCTCTTCCACCACAATGCCTTCTCTTCTTCCTTCTCCTCCACCCCCATTCTAATTCCCATCATCATCATCATCCAGGAGCCTTCTACATACACACCTCAAAGTAAGTGAACTTTTCTACCATTTTTGTTGAATTTAGGCAATTTTCGGTGAGCTGGAACCAATTACCCAAAAACCCATTGAAACAATGGTTTCGGTTAACGAACAACCTGCTGGAACGGATTGTGTTCGTTAACCGAGGGACCAATGTATATATATATATATATATATATATATATATATATATATATATATATATATATATATATATATATATATATATATATATATATATATATATATATATATATATATATATATATATATATATATATATATATATATATATATATATATATATATATATATATATATATATATATACAGTATAACATACCTGCTAGCACCAGAGGGTCGTAAATATGAGTGGGGCGCAGGAGCAGTGCGAGACAAGAGAATGCGATGAGGGTTGTGTAGAAGGTGTAGCTTGGAGCACGACCCTCGGTAGGCCAGGGCAACAGCTCCAAACACCATCTCTCCCAGTAGCTTGGTATCGTTTTCCTGCTGCCGGTACTGTAATATCACAAATTCTTGAGGAATGTTATCCATTGGCTGGGATTATACAGCATCTGACAGTCTTTCGCAAAAATAATATAAATTAGAATTTTGACGATTTTCCAATTTCAAATGACTAGAACTATCTGATTTTCTCCCAAGAAAAAACCAATAACTGATTATCCAAGTATCCTATTAATTTAAAAACACAGCACATTAAATATTAGTACAATTCTGATTTTCTAATTCATCTGAACAACTACCTTTTACTTAAGTTCCAAGAACAAACTCCTGTAATTCAATGGCTGAACTAGGAACATTGGTTTGGTGGAATGATTCTCGTGGTAAAAAGGTTCTTACTCCTGCCCTAATACTACAATGTTGCAACTGTGTGACCCTGGGTGGCTTTATCACTTACTGCTGAATATTAAATGGACTATACAGTATAGTACCTGTATCAATAGATGTGAAAGTAATCAGCAAAGTTGTACATTCGTCCCATTATGAAAATTTGGGGTTATAAAATAACTTAATATCTGCAACATTTGTGTCTCAAGAACACCACAAAAGTGTAAACCCAATAAGAGGCAGAGGAGCATCTTGACTGCCCAGTGGTATCAACTCTAATGATGTTTTCAATATCCTTGTGTTAGTTGGGATTAAGAACAACTCAAGACTGGTACAAAAAAGCTTCTTGTAGGATCTGGACATTACAACATATAAACTCCAGGAAGTTATTAGAAACCTTGTAATGTTTTAGTTTTAGTAATACCGTAGTAAATTTTTTTACTCAAAACCTATACAGGGCCAGTACAACACTTGTATTAAAAAAAAGGGGGGGGAGGCAATTAGTTGATATTTGACCTGTACCAAAACAGATAAAGTTTCTAATACATTTTTTTCATAATTTCTAGCAAAAATGGAACTGCTTTAACAATGTTAAAGAAGTCACCATTTATTACCCAATGGTGATGTGTACAATGAGCTACGGTACAGTATAGAACAGGATAGAACAACACATTTTCTTTCTTTAGAACTACCATCAGCAATCTTATACTGTAATGTTAAATAATAAAAAACTTGAAACCAATACATGTGCAGTATAACTCTCTTTTTTTAAGCCATAACTAAAGACACCAACATTTTTTCCACATGGATCTTAAGAAAATTAGATTACTGTAGTGACTATAACAGGTACTATTAACTATTTTTCTTTTAAAAGTTTAACCATAACAGTAACTGAAGGGTTATCTTTATAATACAATTCAGTTCCTTTCCACCCACATCCTGAATGATAATTTGGGAAATATCATGTATGTACAGTATTTGATTTAAAAAGAAAAAATCAGTGTTCGGTGCACATAAAACTGTCATAACTCACCTGATAGCCATAGCCTCCACTTATCTCTGCAAAGATGTCAGACTTGAAGGATGAGGAGGAAGGTGCTGTAGACTTAACATTAATTGATGAATTTGTGTTGTTAATGACTTGTGACACATGTGGCGCTGCAGCACTGTTGACTGAGCTGACCGATGACCCACTGCTCCAGCTGGTCTTGAACAATGTTTTACATGAGGGGACAACAGATGAACTGTCCGAGATGGGAACCTGCACCACCGTCTTTGAGTCGTAGAGTAACTTACGTCCTCGTGTGTCACATTCGCGGAACAAGAGAACTCTAATACCATCCCTCTGCAGGTGAAATGGAGGAGCTCCTCCTCCAGACTGGTTCTGGGAGCTGGAACATGGAGTGAAAGAGTTTTCAGGAATATTGTTACCACTATTATCACATCCACATTTATTAATACCTTCTTCTGATAACTGTACTGGTGTGTACAGGGGTAAGTACTTCACCAGACCATTTGAACTTGGGCAGATATCTGCCTTCCTTCCTCTGTTGTCCATAGCCTTTCTCTTTCCATTTCTATTAAAACAGCACTCCCGGTAGAGTTGTCTCAACCTTGTAACTAACGGCAAGAGAACGTCACCGCCATTTGACATAGTAGTCACACACCAACAATTTTGACACATTCCAACACAGTTTAATCTATGCCACGGACAGAAAATTTTGCATTAATATAATGGATTTAATTGTTACTGCAAATTGTTTTATAAACACATTTCATTAAGTTTACTAACAATTACTTCATTTCATTGACACTGCAAGGTATTGTAAGTCATCTGACTACCCTTCATCCACACAAATTGAGGAGAAGTTGGCAGTGGTGAGGTCCAGCGTAACCATAGAGGACGACTGAGAGTCTTGTGACTAAACTTGGCACACAACACCTTACAGGCACGAGGGTTCACGTGAGCTGTCAGGCAAACCCATCTGTTCCCCCCATCTGCCTCACTCCTCCACCCTAACCAGCACTACTCCCTCCACCCACCTCAGCTAACACTACTCCCCCAACCTCCTCAACCAAAACTACTCCTCAACCAACATTACTCCCCCACCCACCTCAACCTACACTACTTCCCCACAAACCACCCCAGCCTCAACTAACTCATTCCTACACCCACCAGTCCTTAACACCTTCCTTCACCTTGGCTGACTCACTAATACTTCCTCCCATATTTACCTAATGCCCACACAACAGAGGCGGCTATGCCGAAGGAAGGGCAGTGGCTTGTCACTGTCATTTATTCATTCACAGTAGAGTGTCGTAAGACTTACGTTATATGCACACACACACACATTACAAGTAGTTTCTCACTTAACTTACACTGGATATGTTCATCAAGGTGATTATATTGGCACCTAGACTGTACATTGGTTCCCTGGTTGTCATACACATTGTCAAAAGGTATGTACTAATAGAAAGACGAAGATTGAGTGGCTGATCGGATACCTAGAATGACAGTAGGGAAATATTGTGGGCGTATATTTAATTTTCGTTTTAAACATTATGGAATAAAGTAAAGACTTTGTAAATATGTAAATATTATATATATTATATATATATATATATATATATATATATATATATATATATATATATATATATATATATATATATATTTGAAGTTAATAATAATTACTAATACCAAATTCATAACATTATTACTCATAATTATGTAAGAGGATAATAATTACTTGTATACATCAGGTAAGGGACGGCGTGGCGGCAAGCTGTCCTAGAAAACCTTTCACGCTAAATGTATCTTGATAAAAATAATATCAGATAAGTTCTGCTGATCGATGATATTCTTTAATGTTTTAGTTAATACACTGTATACCACAAAACAAATGATGCATTTATCAGTCTAATTTTATTAGCCAACCAGGGTCGACGTAGGCTAGTACATACCTGTTGTTCAAGTACAAGACAACACGGGAACCAGTTTAGACTGTTGCTATGCAAGTACGTTGTGTTCATAGTTGAGACCACAAATGTACATTTGTAAATCCATAAATGCAATTTTATTATTGCCAGAAAATGTTTTTGACCTTAAAACCTGTCACCATCCTTAGATGTGTAAGAATAATTGTATGAATGTGTGTATGGTTGTGTACAGTACATGTCTATGCATCTATGAACGTATGTGTGGGTATTAGTGTATATATTTTCTATGTACAAGTATAATTAAACATGTAACGGCATGTTAACGTGTGTGTGTGTGTGTGTTTATTTTGTAATGTATGTGTTTAAGCGCACGCGTTTTCATGTTTTCCATTTATATTGCGTGTGTATTAAAAACTATGTATACTGTAGACGAATATAAGGAAATGTGTACTTCTTCACACAGTCTACCAGCTCAAGTTGTGGAATCGAGACCAGGACGGACTTCAAAATAACCCTTGACAAAACTACTGTATCAAGATCGATGGAGGGATCCTACACAGGCCACTGACCTTCCCTCGGCATGGCCACCTCGTGTTTGGGTGGCCATAGGAATTGAATTGAAACAGTTTATTTAGCCAGAAAAACACAGATACAGAGTGGATAATAATAACAATATTAACATGGCTGAGCCAGTTGAGAACCTGAGCTCTCTTTTAGGCATGTGATATATAATATACATTTACCTCAAGGAAGTATTATGTAACATTTAGTATCATCTGAAATAATACAATAGCATGGTAGTAATAAGAACATCTCATAATATCTCATAATGTTACCACAGTTATCACTTCAATATTTATTTATTTTATGTAGGTTTTTTTTTTTTGGGGGGGGGGGTAAATAAGGTAAATATAAACTAAAACTGTGTGTAAATGTTGGGCTGACAGAAAACTGGTGACACAACCCATTCATGTCTCATTGCTCTCGTTGCCTTGGGAGATCCAAATACTGTACTGTACTATAAAAAAAAATAGTCGAGTTTTAATACCTCCATCAGTGTGTTGAGGGGTTACCGGGTCCACAGGCCACGGGGGATGGCCCAATTCAGCGCCGCCGTTTCAGCGCCAGACTATTCAGCGCCGAGACCTTTCAGCGCCTGTGCGTTCCGTTCAACTCAGAAGCTATCTGTCTTTCATTAACGTGGTATAACACTGTATACTACACTTGATTTATATTATGTTGTATTCAACTTATTAATATTTGGTTAGGTTAGGTTAGGTTAAATCAACCAATCCAATAAATATGTATGATTCTTTGAAGAAATTATTGATTTGGTGGCGCTGAAACGGTGGCGCTGAATAGTCTGGCGCTGAAATGGGCTGGCGCTGAAACGGCGGCGCTGGAATGGCGGCGCTGAATCGTACCCTACCCCAGGCCACGATGGTGCTCGCTATCTTATAATACAATACTGTATCCCAGGATATGTGTCTGGAATATAAATAACCTCACACACACCATCATCACTTACACAGTTCACATCATCAATTTACCTACACCATAATGTACTGTACTCAATAACACCATCATTGTCGCCAACATCATCCTCGCTTTTTTATATTAGGTAAAGTTGGGGACAAAAGTTCGCTACCTGTGGTGCAACCGATTGAGTCTCCGAAATGATTTACCCTGACAGTTTCATCTCATTTTGGGTCGATGCTGCTTCATCTGGGCGGGAGCTATCATGTGACTGTACACTTGGTTCAAAAAAAAAATAATATATCTTTACAATTCTTGTGCGACACAAAATGACACTACGGACTAAGGTTTTTGATAAAGGCCCATGTGGTACTATTATCCACCGATCACGTTGCAACAACTAATTTTATATTCCGAATGAAATAACTAAATTAGGCCTACCATAATAGGTTGGAAATGTCTCACAATCACGCCTACCAACCCTAGCCTAGTGAGGCAACAGGATTGTTTAGTTCAAAATAATGGGAGCCCTCCTGAAAGATAATTTTTTTTACAGTGTACATACTACGTATGAATTCGTCTGCTAACATCAATATCTCGTCGTTTAAAAGATTTTCAAAGTTTTCTCGCAAGTAATAAAATATGGGGAACTATGACCCCCGTGGGCTACACTTCACCTAAGTTAACATCAGCCTACGTGTCTAACACATCAGTTATGTTACTTTTCGTGTAGGTATTGGTTGGCAAGTGTGGGTACACTTGCCGGGGACGTTATAATTGTCACAACCCACACCTACATTACAGAAGACTGGCATCTGAACCAATTTTTTAATTGGCGAAACAAATCGATTTTATAAAAGAAAAATAAAGACGAGGAGCATGTTAGACATTTATCATTACTAATTGAAGACAATTCATTGTGGCTTCTGATCTCATAGTACTGGCACCCTTTCTTACTTATAAGGAAAATAAGTTGATAATTAACATGAATTATTTTGTTTAATTTCTTAATAAAAAATTACACGGGGTGAAAGCTTGAACCAGGAAGTAAACAAGTAAAATAATTAATTTCTTGGAGGACAGTATATGGCCTCCCACACGACAAGGGTATTAAGGCCGCCGTGTACCTGTGGTGCTGGAGGGTAGGCCAGGCACGCGTCCAACTGTGCCGCTCACAGCCTCATGTGACTAGTAGTTAGCTCACAGAAATAACCCAGCCGCCTGCTGCTGCCCCCCCTTCCCCATCCATATTACCCCACGTTCACCCTGCCCTCCGCATCCCACCTAAATATTCTTGTACTCAATACAATTACCCACTTATCAAGAACCTCTATAATGTCCGTGCTTTCTCTCGACTTGACCAATATATATAGGAATGTATCTATTCATGCGTGTTGGTCAAAAAGAACACGTAGCTAAGAAATATAAATTACAGGAACCATATAAATTTCGTTTAACTTAATTTAAACTTTACATAAATTCCTGTCTGTCTTGTATACCGGTATTTAAACGTATTGTTTAGCTTCGCCAAGTAACTATATCTTCAAATGACTAATATTTTGGTTATATCAAAAGTAAACCTAAATTAAATGTTATTAATTAAATTATTAGCGTAAAAGTATTAAAAAATTAGATAATTTACAAACTTCCTTTTTCAACTTGTTAATAACACTCCGAAATGAACAAAATTTATGAAAGAACTATTTAATAGCTACAATAAAGCTCAGTGGACCTCACCAGTCATGTAATCTTGATAGCTGTCATAAACAGCAAACACATGAGAGGACAAAGGCGCTGGAGGTCTAAGGGCCAATTGCAAGAACAAACTGCTGTAGTAATTTTAGTCATCTTGATCCACAGACCTACCAGACTATCCAGCTTAAGCTACTGGACTTACCTTTCACATGTAAAAACCCAAACACACATTTATTCCGCCATATACAGTAGTTAACACTACACTATGCAGTACTGCACT